CATTATAACTCACTGCAACATCAAACTCCTGGGCTGAAGCAGTCCTCCTGCCTCAGCTTCCTGAGCAGGTGGAACTAGAGGTGTGAGCCACCATGCCTGTCTAATTTTTCTTTCTTTCTTTCTTTTTTTTGGTAGAGATGGGATTTAGTGCTTGCTCAGGCTGGTCTCAAACTCTTGGCCTCAAGCAATCCTCCCACCTCAGTCTCTGAAAGTGCTAGAATTACAGACATGAGCCACCATGGCCCTCCCAAAATATGTCGCTAAATTAAAAAATTATAAAAGTAACAGCATCAGCGATCAGCATAGGGAATGTAGAAAATACAGAAAAATCTAAATAAGAAGATAAAAATTATTAATAATCCCACGATTTAAGGTTGACATTTTTAACATTTTAATCTATCTTCTTGGTGTCCTCCCGCCCCGCCCCCAAGTTTTATTTCTGACCCTCTGTGAGTACAGAACACACCCAGGTTCTGTTCCCGCAGCTTCCTGTGGCAGTAACCTCTCCCGTAACCCCCTCCCCGGGGGGCAGGCCTCCTGTCCTGTTCCATTCCTCCAAAACCCCTAAAATAGAAATAGGAGCTTCATTTGCCCTTAAAACATGAGGACTCGCCCCTCTCCTTCAGACTCCCCCAGCCTGCTCGGACCTTGCTCTCACTGGCCCATGGCCACTGTCCCCAGACTCCCCTTCCCAACAGAGGGGACTTGGCTCTCCCAGATGGACCCCTGTCGTCTGGGCGCCCCCACTGCACAGCCTCCCGCGTTCTGCAGCTGCGGCGGCCGGACCTCCATGTGCAGTGGAAGAAAAGAAACCCCTGACGCTTGGCCACAAAAATTCTTACGTTATAAATTTGGACTCATTTCATAGGGATACCAGGAAGTATCCCAGTAAGATATACTGGCTTTTTATTAGCGTAAAAATCAGGCTTTTCCCGTTTGGATCAGTGAAGTTTACAAATGCTTAAATAATTCTGTTGTTTCTGTTTTACCTCTTCAGTGTTGATGAAAGTGTTTCTGCACACTCGATTTACGAGTGGTTTCTTGGGGACTGTTAGTGAAGTCACAGGGAGGAATGCGAGGCTCTGTGGTGGGCGATGTGGCAGGCACACTCCGAAAACGTGAGCAGGCGCTGTAAATCTGAACGCTGCGCTTTCTAAACCCCTTGAAAGGACCCCGCGCCGCCCAGCGCGCTGGGTGAAAGGGCCTCTCTCTTGCAGGTGGCGCAGGACTGGAAGTGCGTGGCGCAAGTTCTCGACCGGCTCTTCCTGGGGCTCTTTCTGGCGGTGTCGGTCGCAGGCTCGGTTCTGATTTTCACCCCTGCTCTGAAGACGTGGCTACAGAGCTACGCTTAGGGACGAGTCTCCGGAGCAATTTAAAAGACAAAATGACGCCTCAGAGCGGACACCTGGCCGGCGCGGGCGGAGTGCGCAGGCGCGTGCTGCAGGCCCGCGCCGTCCTCGGCACGAGCCTCTCCCGACGAGAGGGCCCTGGACACGCGCCCGCCGAGGGGAGCCGCGGCGGCTGCCACAGCGAGCTGTTTTTAAAGAAAGAAGAGCCTCCTCGGGCCGCTTCCTCGGCTCCCGGGACTCCCAGGGCGGCGCCACGGGTCCAGGCTGGGTCCGTGTCAGCGCTGCGAACCCGCGTCCGCGACCCCCGCTCCGCGCCACACGCCTCTCGCCTGCGCTTCGCTCTCCTCACCTTCTGATTTTGTCTACATCAGCCGGAGTTGTAGTTCCAGATTTTTTTTTTTATTTCAGGGTATTGTGAGTGTACACACACTTTGGTTACACTGTATGTCTTTGCCTCACCCAAGCCAGGGTTAGAGGCCTGCCCTTCCCCCCTACAGTGCTCCCCGTGTCCTTTAGTTGCGGGTTTACTCCCCATCCCCCAATCCCCGAGAGTATTTCTGCCATGCGATCACCCTAGTGTCGATCAGTTAGTACCAATTTGATGGCAAGTACAAGTGGAGCCCATTCTTCCACTCTTGTGCTGCCTCACTTTGGATAATGGACTTAAGTTTAATCCAGGAAAGTATAAGAGGTTCTAGATCACTGTCGTTTCTTATGATTGAGTAATATTCCCTTGTATACATATACCAAATTTTAATAATCCACTCATGAATTGATGGGCACTTGGGTTGTTTCCACATTCTTGCAATAGTGAATTGTGCTGCCATAAACATTCGGATGCGGGTGTCTTTATCGTAGAATGTTTAGTGCTCTTTTGGGTAGATGCCTAATAGTTCCAAAATTTTAATTCTTATATTACGTGTTCCTTTCTCTAAGAATCATTTATTGACGATACATTTTGTCCACAATTTCATTTCTTTGTTCGCTTTTGTCCATTTCCCTCTTTCTCTGCATCTGTTTCAATATCAGAGGGATGCAGAATATGTCCTCAAGCAATTCTCTGCGGACGTTTTCGAGTGTGGTAACCTTTCTGAATCCTTGCATTCTGAACTTTTGGTTTATTTTGCCCTCACACTTGAACAATAGGCTGGCTGTGCATGGAACTCTGGTTCAAAATCATTTGTCCTCAAGACTCTGAAGACATTACTTTATAACGTCCGTGTTGTAGATAAGAAGCAGGTGAGAGCTGACTCTTACTCCTTATTCCTGTGCGTTACTATTTTTTCCTTCCTAAAATTCTTAGGCTTTTCCTTTGCCTTTTGGACTTTAGAAATGTCACTTGTCTGTGTCTAAGTGCAGGGCTCTCGCTCTGGCTTGGCCCTTGATGACAGATGTCTTTCTTCGACTTATGCAAGTTTTCTTCTCTTACTTATGTTTTTATTTCCTGTCTTCCATTTTCTCTCCTTTCCTTTTGACATTTCTAATAGAGGATCTTGGTGTTACTGGATCTGTCTTTCACGATTATTAATTTATTAACTTTTCTCTCATGAGAATAAACTCCTTTTGCAGTCGGGCTGAGATTACCCCTAACAAATTTGATTTTCAGCCATTGTCTATTCTGCTTTCCAGACCCCCTAACCAAGGTGGGGTTTTGTCCGTTTGTTTGTGGATCAATGATACACAGTCATGTGCTCCATAACGACATTTCGGTTAATGACAGAGCTCATATATGACAGTGGTCCCGTGAGATTATAATACCATTTTTTTTTTTTTTTTTGAGACAGAGTCTCACTGTGTTGCCCAGGCTAGAGTGCTGTGGCGTCATCCTAGCTCACAGCAACCTCAGACTCCTGGGCTCAAGCAATCCTCCTGCCTCAGCCCCCCAAGTAGCTGGGACTACAGGCATGTGCCACCATGCCCGGCTAATTTTTTCTATATATTTTTAGTTGTCCAATTAATTTCTTTCTAATTTTAGTAGAGACGGGGTCTCGCTCTTGCTCAGGCTGGTTTCGAACTCCTGAGCTCAAACAATCCGCCTGCCTCGGCCTCCCCGAGAGCTAGGATTACAGGCGTGAGCCACCGCGCTCGGCCCTATAATACCATTATTTTTACGGTACCTTTTCCACGTTTAGACACTCAAGTACTTGTCGCTGTGTTGCAGTTGCCTGCAGTATGCGGCACAGTAACATGCCGTGTGGGCAAGTAGCCTGGGAGCACTGGGCCACCACATGGCCCAGGTGCGCGGTGGGCTGCGCCATGGAGGCTTGTGTGAGTGCGCTCTGTGATGTCCCTACAACAAAATGACAGAATCACCCATCAATGCGTGTCTCAGAATGTGTTTCCATTGTTACGTGACACACGACTGTGTTTGATTTCTAAGAACTCTGACTGTCCTTTACGGACATCACACCTTCTGGAATGTGTGGGGCAATGTTAATCACAGTTACTTTAAAGTCTTCTGTTGTCTACATTACAGTTTTTCTTCAGGTGTTAATTATAATATATTTATGGTTTATAGGGTTTTGATTACTCTTTGGAAGTACAAAGGAGGAAGACAAAGGAGTTTGCCAAACAAAATCAATAAAATAAAAATAGCTCCATGCTGAAGCCTTTCTCTGGATGTCATAGTTTGTGCTTTGGCAAAGTTAATGCTTTTTATGGTCATTTTACTCAAATATTTGGTGATTTTTGATATTGTTTATTGACCCACAAGTGACGCCTGTTCCTAATGACAGGAAACGTGGCTTCGGTCGTGGCGTGGGAAGGCTGTCCCCTCTGCGTGTGTCCAGGCCGGCACTTCTCTAGGGTGTGTGAGCAGCTCACCCTCCACATTAGGGGACACCCTTCCTTGTGGCGGCCGTAAGTGCCCCTGAGCACTGCCCTAGCTCTTTGACACCAGTGTCCTCGCTGGTTTCTCATGTGTCAGAATGACCACATTTGTGGGGACACACTGCAAAAGCCACTATGAAAATAGGGCAGAGCCGCAGCCGTTCCCTAGTCCCTCGCCTGATTACAAACTAATTCCTCTTCCTTTTCAAGACTCCCTGCCTTTACTCTGAGGGTTATTGTTGGGGGGGGTGCCTAGAAAAAATAATTTCTTTGACAGCTCCATCTTTCCTACATGGGGACACAGATTCCACTGCTCCGTCAGGTTTTACCCCACGTCTGGCCTCATGGGCCCTGCGTCTCAAACCTCGTCCTCCGCTCCCGGCTACCCCGGGCGCCCCAGCCAACGTCCCGCGGCTGTTGGGCATTCCTCACAATGTTCATCGTTATTTTGCATTTCTTCTGAAACATCAGTGGGATTTGGAGAACAACAACAATAGCAAAAAAGGAAACACGCCTTTCCAGCCAGCCAGCCTGTGCCAGAAATCTCTTCTGAATCCCAGTCCCCGCAGACCGGTCCCATCACACAGCGACTGAGCACTGGCAGGTCTCTCCAGCGGCGCGTGGTCCCTGAGAAATGTACAGTCTGACTCTGAGTAACCCGCCCTTCGCAGACTGATGCATCCTGGACATAGGTGGGGACCAGAAAGATGATTCTGTCGGGAATAGAATTTATTGGCAAAAAACCCCCGAGGCGTGGCTTGAAGTCAGTGATCCACACATGTGCCGCTGGACTCGGAGGATCGCGTGCGCTTTCCAGCTGGCTGTTCCCAGCCTCCTGGACGTTCCCGGTGTCCTCCTACAAGCTCCTCCTGCTTCTAGTCTGCTCTTCGTCCTGTTCACACTAACCGGCCCTTCCCCGTTTCACACCTGATCGCTCCTTCCCTGTGCCCTCGGTTCTTCCTCCTGCAGTTGTACCTTTAATTGCTCTTTCTCTCCTGTGGCTCCTTTTCCTAGACCTACAAAATACCCAGATGTGCCCTATTCTTAGAACAAACACAGAAAGGGAACGGAAATAATAGAATTTTTTCAAATAGCCTGGACTGCTTTTTTAGAGAGATTCATGCCATTCAAATTACCCTCAAAAGTATCAATGTATCTGTGTTCAATGGATAACAAACTCTGTACCCTAGAACTGTGCTTTTATGTACTGTGTGCAAACATGATGGAACAGAGGGCTCTTTGCAGGATCCACAGATCCATTACGTTTATGCACGTTTTTCTGAATTTTTAAAAGGGAGTTAATGGATGGAGTGAAAACCAGGGCCCTAGGACTCCTGGGCTCTAGACCAGCCATTAACTAGCTGTGCGAGCTGTGAGGCCATAGGCGAGTTACTCACCCTCTCTGTTTTAGTTTCCTGATCAGTAGTACAAGGTTATGACTCATGACCTTTGAAGCTCTCCCCTGCTCTTAAATTCCAGACTTTGGAGATTTAAACTGGAGGTTTCACAATTTGTAGAGCACACAACTTCTAATTATAACTTCGTTCCTTTAGGAAAATACAGTCTGCTTTATCACTAGTTCAGGACAGGATTCGCAGGGGTGCATCGTGTTGAAAATCAAGGACTCCCGACGTACATCCTCGACGGGATTGTGGATTCAAAGGGCAAATCACTATTCTTGTTCTTTTAGTGAGAATTCTATTGACTTTAACTCATCACTTAATTTTAACTCATTTGTTTGCTAGATAAATGACAATGCTAATTTTAGAAAAATATGTTTAGATCTGAATTCTGCTTTACATTTTGAAAAATACCAGCATGAAACACTTTCGGAAGCAAGCCTCTTTCTGATCAGACACAAATACAGAAAAGGTTAAGCCCTTATATGCCCGCCAGCAGTCAAGGTGGGAGATGATCTCAGCTTCAAACATAGAAAAGCTGAAATATTCATGTACCATGATAACCCTAAGGAAGTGACTACAAAGGTAACTTTAAAGCAAAGGAATTTTAATTTCAAATGTACTGGAAGAAAAATCTGTGGACAAAATTTGCCAGCTAATTCCAACAAGTGGGTGATGTCACAAGATCTATTCTACTCTGTATCACACGTGCGAGCATGGTACACACACGTGCTTGGGCATGCACACGCGGGGAGCCCACAAAGGGGTGTCCCA